GAGGAACTTGGAGATCAAGAAAAATGAGAGGCCAGGATTGTTTCAAGTGGAATGAAGGGTAAGGATTAAAGAAAAACCACTATATGATAATGTGTTGTAAAAGAAATAAACATAATAATAGAATTAAAGAAAAAATGATAAGAAAAAGAATTTACTATAAAATAAAGTGAATACAAGTTATAAGAACTTTAAATTATTCTCTTAGTCTCTCTAAAAACTTATACACCAACTAATGAATAATCAAACCTATTTATAGGCTTTAAAATTGAGAAGAGAATTGGAAGGAACTATGAATAATTAAAAGTACATAAATTGTTGAATCAATTACATCACATTAAGAATTATGAATAGTATGGATATAAAAAATATATGAATATTCATATAGACATTCATTATTTCCTAACAAACCCTCAATTATTAAATATTTATAATCTTTGGACATTGTTTTTTTGTAAAAAAAATCTCATTAATTCAATTAAGTACTTGAATTATTCACCTTTATAACTTTTAATAATTAGACTTATTAAATTGATCACTTAACGACCCATTTACATTGCCTAATATTTATGCTCGCTTAGTATTTAATTTTTCATGCGGACATAAATATTAACTTAATGCCTTAATTTATACGTTAAATAAATATTATATATTAAAATAAATTCATTAACTCATATATAAATATTTAAGGAGGTAAAAAGATCAAGGATATTACACTAAAGGTTTGATAATTATGTTTTAGGTATCCGAGACTTGCTTGAGTCGAGATAGGTCCTACAGTTTTTTTATTTTTCGGTCTGATCGTGGCTCACTTTAGGAGTAGTAACAACATTACCTGTATATTCCATTTTAAAGTAGTTATATATATATATATATATATATATATATATATATATATATATGTATATATTGGAGCATTTCAATAAAAGAAAAATTTATTCATGTTTATAGAAATTAATTAAAATAACAGATTAAAAACTTAATTATTATTAAAAAAATATAATTAATATAATTAAAAAGATAAAAACTTATTGAAAAATCAGATATTATATTAAAAAAAAAACTATTTATCCATATATAAAATCCTTGATTGTAAAAAAGAATGGAAGCTCATTTAATTTATTCAAACGTCGTAGAATCTTATACCCAAATACCGGAATAAGACCCCTAACCAAAAAAAAAACAGAAACTTCACGGTCAGTGGAAAATCACGTCATTTGATTGTGACATTGCCATTCCAGTGGCAAGCAACGTCTCTGTTTTTGGCTGCTAGCCATGGGAACGGGATCAGAACTTTACAGTCAAGAATTTGGTACTGACTTTTCATTTTCCCGTTCCCATGGCTAGCAGTTGGTAATAAAAAAATGAAATGGTAAAAATAAAAATAAAATTTATTTTGTAAATATTTGATTGAAAAAAAAATAAAAATAAAAGTGAGAATTAGAAAAAAATATTAAATATATTTTTATTTTTAATAAAATTATTTTTTAATTAATATTCTTATTCACTTTAAAAATTAAATTTTAAAAAAATTAAATTTCATTTTCATTCTATATTATTATTTTAATATAATATTGAAATAAAAATATCATTTTGATTCTTTCTTTTTTATTTTTATTTTGTATTTTCATTTTTGATAGCCAAATAAAATTAAAAGGTTTGTTGAACGCTAGAGAAACAAAGAAAAGAAAAATGCTAAGATTGGCCATAACGACTGGTCGCCTAGATCCAATAAATGAAAAATTACTTATTAAATAATAATAATAATAATAATAATAATAATAATAAATTATCTAAAAAACTAAAAGACCTGGAATAAATAAACAGTGAATTATCTGTATATAATAATTATTACTGTTCATTTAATTCACTGTTCATTTATCTATATATAATAAATATTATTGTTCATTTAAACAGTATTTTACGGTTCGATTTGTAGACAAGGCTACTCTGCTGCTAAAACCATGCAAGCGTGCAACAGATTTTGTAAGGGTTCACATGGAAAGATGGTTGTACTCAGAGAAGGCTGCAACAAGTTTCAGTCCACCTAATACATGCCACTCAATAAACAATAAATCATACTTTTTTTCTTATCTATATAGACACCTTTAACATGTAATACATGCCGAAAATTTAGAAATAAATTTTTTTATTATAATGTTATTTTTTCATAATTATTTTTAACTTTATTATCGAATAACTTAACGATTTTTTTTATTTACCATCTTATCCTAAAAATTTAAAATAAAAATTTTAATCCTTTAATTGATGTACTATACATGCTTTTTTTGTTTATTTTTTCATCAATTTATGTTCTTTTTTTATTTAATTGCGTGTTAAAATTTTGGAAAATTAATTTTTTTTTTTTGCTTTTTTCCATCAATTTATATTCTTGTTTTATTTAATTGGGTGTTAAAATTTTAAAAAATCAATCATAACTTTTTTCCACACAAACTAATAATTATATAATATATCTTTTTATATTTTAAAATTAACATATACTTCAGCTTATATTAATCTTATTATTTAAATTTTATTCTTTGAATTTATCATTTTTTATGAAAATTTTTATCTAATTAATATTTTTTATATGAAATTTTATTTAATGATATTATATAATTTATTTTTCTCTATATTTGAATTTTAGAATAAAATTTTAAAACATGATTGTTTTTTCTTTTTAAAAAATAAATTGATATAATACATATTATGAATTCTTGAAAATTTTAAATGATAGTTGCATGCATACAAAATATATAATTATTTTATTCTAAAACGTTAAAAATATATTTCAAATAATTTATCTCAGTTCAATACGTATGGTCAAAACATATAAAAAATTATTAAATCGTTAATTTATTAAAAATTAACTATACATCTTCCAATAAACACAATACAAATTATTTACTATAAATATTGTTGTAACATTATAGAATCAATATATTTGAAATAAAATAATTAAAATAATTTTTTAAAGGAATCAATCAATTATTCAAATATTGTTTTTTATGCTAATTTTATTGATTATTTTGTAAATAAATATATATAAATCAAATGCATATATTTGAAAGAAAAAATCTTCTCACCAACATTATATTAGGAAAAAAAATTTATTTTTTCATTGGTTAATTTTTATGCAAGTTTATACATTAATTGTAAGTTTATTTTTTAGATACATTCTTATAATAAAATAATTTTAAATTATTTTTTTAATTCTTAATTAATATTTCATGTTTAAATTATTATAAGTTTTTATTTAAGAATGCCTAAATAACGAAGAATAAATCATGTTTTTTTAAACAAAAATTTTACGAAAAATAAAAAAAATAGTAATAATTAAATAAAAATTAATGAAAAAATTATAACATTTTGAAATGATTTTTTCTATTTACCCGTAACGTTGCGCGAATAATTTAAAAAAAAATCTTCTCATCAACATTAAATAAGAATTTTTTTTATTTTTTAAAAGCCTACCTATTAATTATAACTTTAGTTTTTGAAATATAATATTGTGAAAATGATTTTTTTTAAGTTTTTTTTTTAATTCTTGATTAATATTTTAGTTAAAATTATTAAAATTTTTAATTTTAAAATCAATTCATAAAGAAAAATAATTTATGTTTTTTTAAGAAAAAATTTATAAAAAAAATATTAAAAAATTAATTAAAAAAATATTATAATTAAAAAAAATTAAAATAATTTTATTTCATCAAATCCTTGACGTAGCACCCACAACGAACTAGTAATAAAATTAAAGGAAAAAGAAATGAATACAAACCCAGTCAACTCAATCACATCGCATCGTCATTGTCACTAACTTAATTGTAATAAAAAACAGTTAGTCGTTGCAAGAGTCTTTTCATTTTTTCCTTTTGTTTCAACTTAGTTTCTTTTTTTCAGTTTTAAATTCATTATTTTATAATTAGTTTTTATTTTAATCTTGTATTTTTATTCAAATATTCTTTATGAATTTAAATTTCTTTATATAATAATAAATAATTTTTTAATATAAAATAAAACATTTGTAATATTGTTTTTAAATATGAAAAGAGTTTTAGTTAAATATTAAACTTTTAAATATTTATAATTTTATAATACCTTAAAGGGGTTATTATAATTTACTTATTTTGATTTTAAATTTTTTTAATTTGATTCAAGAATAAGAAAATAAATTTCGTTACAAATTTTAGTCAAATTAAAATATTCATTAGTGGTGAGTTAAACACTAACAAAAATTTATATTTAAAAATCTAACTAACTAATTAGAGAGTTTTGTAAGTAGAAAATTATTTCATTTGAATGTAATATTGTAATTCATTAATCATCCAAACAACAAGGGTGATCCATGTGGATAGAAATAATCAATAAGGAATTCTATTTTTTATTACTAAAAAAATTCAGTATTATCATCTACAACAATCGCAATAATCATAACCATATATAACGAAGTCGTTGTTAGAGTATAACATAATTATATCATTGAGTATTACATAACGATTTAAGTTTTTTAATTCAGATATATTCAATATGGGATGATGATCTTATTTCAAATCTTATCACCATTATTTTTTATAATTAAATTAAAAATTAAAATAATATAATAATAAATACGTACAAGTTTGAAATCTAAAAACCTTTTACAATAAAAAAATAATATAAAATCACCTGCTGCTAGACTTCTAAGCTCACATGAAATTTCTAGGAAATTATTGATCGACAAGACAGGAATCATTTCTTTTTTCTTTTTCTTTCTTTTTTCTACTAGATGGACCCGCCATATTATGAACCCGCAACCTGCAATGGTCCAGGGCGCTCTCCTATAAATGCCAAGAGAGGTTGCAATTAATTTCAAGCAAAAGCAGCTGTAGTCGAAATGTTTATAAAAAGATTCTCTCTCGTAGGGGTGGTGATAGGGATGATTAATGTCATGCTTTTATTAGAAGGGTGTTTAGAGGAAGAGAGGATTGCTCTCTTGCAAATCAAAACTTCCTTTGATTATCCAAATGGCACATCATTGGAGCTGTACTATTGGGGAAAAGATGCCAACTGTTGTAATTGGGAAAGAGTTGGCTGCAATGCGACTACAGGTCGAGTTGTTGGAATCGATCTTTCCTTTGAAAGAATTGTGGAATTGGGAGATTTGGTATCTAAATGCCACTTTGTTTTTTTCTTTTCAAGAACTGAACTATCTTGAATTGAGTGGAAATAATATACTTGGCTGTATTGAGAATGAAGGTTTGTCCGCTAACTAAAATTATTATACATAAAATTAAATATATGTAGAAATATTATTTAAGAAAATAAGTTTTTATTTGTCAAACTGACAAAACTAACCTTTCATGTTAACTGTTATGCAGATTTTGAAAGACTTTCGAAGCTCAACAACTTGGAGATTCTCGATTTAAGTTATAACAAGTTCAATAACAGCATTTTAACGTCTTTAAGTGCTCTTTCATCTTTGAAATCATTAGATATATCCAGTAATAGACTCAAAGGATCAATTAATGCTGAAGGTAAGTAAAACTTTTCTCTCCTTTCATGTCTCAAACAAACCACTTTATTAAGGTTGTTCTTGCTTTTACAATGCAAAATTTATAGAATCAAATAGTTTGTACCTCAGTAGTAATGATCTTTTGCAACAAAAAATCACGGGTTCAAATCCTAACAAACTAATTCTATTAAAAACCTTAGGTTTATGAGTAAAAAATAAAAAATCCAAAATTTATAGTCATTAATTATAATACATATGTATGGGCATAAATGAATTGCTTAAATAGTTTGAAAGAGTTGGATCTCGAATTTAATGAAATTGAAGGTTTCAAATCATTTCATAGTATGAAAAAATTGTGAGTTAATTATTTTAATTTGTTTTCAAAAATAAGTCAAAATTACTTCACTAATTGTCTAATTTTATGTTTTTTTTTTACATGAAATCTTAACATAATATTTTTTATTTTATTTTATATATAGGTGGTGATGCACTACTGAAATTCAGCAATTTGGAGTACATTAACTTGGGTGGAAATCGCTTGAATAACAATGTATTATCATCATTTAAGGGTTTTTTATCTCTTAAAACTCTTGATCTATCTTACAACCAATTGAAAGGATCATTTAACATGAAAGGTTCTTTATATATATAATCTCATATTAATTATTCTATTTCAAAAAACGAGTCTTCATTAAGATTTTGCTTTGAACTAATATAAAATTTATGTTTCTCTTCGACATAGAATTGGATGCTTCGATCAACTTAGAGATGTTATATCTAAATGGAAATGAAATTGACAAATTTGTGTTCTCAAAAGGTATTAGTTTTCACATGGTCCATGGTGATTTTTTACCGCTCGATCAACCTACCTTTTCAATATGAACTAAATTTTTATGATTTAATGCATCAAAACTTATTTTATTCTCTTCTCACTTGCAGATACTATAGGTTTTCGAAACCTAAGCTCCATTTATTTATATAATATGACCACAAATGGAAGAAGCATTCCATTCTCTTTACTGCAATCATTGGCAAAATTCCCAAACCTCAGAAACCTTACTCTGGGAGAGAACCATTTTGACGGAACAATATTAGCTCGAGGTGATTAAGTTTTAGGATTAATTATTCATTTCTTCCTTAAAGTCTCTTTTTCATAATTTCGTTTAAACTGATATCTCTTTAGAATTTTTTTATGCATTGTTTCCTAGTCTTCAACTTATCTCTTTAGTTGCCAATAAATTATAATGTTCCTCGTTTCTTCAATAAGTATGGAATTGGAACTTTAAAAAAAAAAAACAAACAAACAAACAAACAAAACAAAACAAAATTTTCCTCTTTAGTTAGAACCAAAAATTGAAAAATAAAATAAAATAAAAACTTATCTCTTTAGGTTGATTTGGACGATATAATGACATTGAAGGCTTTAATTTATTTAGTCCTTTTTTATTGTTTTTTTTTTTTTTAATTTGAAAAGATTGTACCACATAAAACCCCGGACTATAATTACGACAGTTTATGCCCGAAGATTGTCTTATTTGAGTAAAAAGATAATGATAATTAGGCTGACAGTCCCTCAATTTTATAATTTTTTTCAACCGAGTATATAGATTTTAATTTTTTAATACATTAATTGTTTCAAAACTTACAATTAAGTACTTTCATCCACCTTTGTCAATTTCTTTGTTATATAATGATATGTCCTTTAACCTCAACCTATTATTGATAAACCAATTTTTACTTTATTTCAGTCAAGTACAAGTAATTCAATTATCCTCATTTAAATACACTTATGGTTACTTCAAGGCTCTATAATTTTAAATAGCAAATTATTAAATATTTTTATTTATCGTCTCATAATAACTCATCCTACCACACAATAACTTGACTAATTATCCCATAATTGCTTGTTACAAATATATTATTATGTTATTACGACTTGAAAAGCACATTGTTACATATAAAGAAAAACAAATATTATTCACTTTGTTACAACTAAGTGATTACGAAGTGTTAGATAGATTCACTAAATAAACATTAAAAAAATTATCATATCCCCTTGTAATTTTCCTAGTTATGAAAAATTAAGCTCAATTTCAATTAAAAAAAAAGTTTCTTGTTACGTTAGAGAAGAAAAAATACTATTTAAGTTGTAAAAAAAAAAAAAACCATTTGTAAGTGATTGCGAATTAATAAATATTTACACTTATTGTATCTTAGACATTATCTTATTAATTTGTAAACTTGAAAACACTAAAATTATAATGTTTTAAAATAACCACAGCAAGCCCCATGATCATATGCTGGCAAAATAAATAGAAATTACATAGAATTATCAAGCATTCCCTATAGGTTTGATTATTTTAGCCTTGTCCTCTCACAAGAATTTGGAAGGACTATATTTTGAGATCCATGACACAATAATAGCTTTATGCACAATTTTGTTTTTGGAAAAAAACAACTAATATCTTTAGATTTTTTTAGGTTTCCTTCTTTTTATTAGAACCAATACAAAAAAAAAAAAAACCTTTGCTCTTTAGATTTTGATCTTGTGGTTGGATTGGACAGTATAATTGAAGCCTTTAATTTCTTTTTCCTTTTTTTTTTCCCAAAAAAATGGTACTACGAGATAAACCACTAATTATAAGTAAGACAGTTTATGCCAATGGGTTTTATTATTATTATTGGCTATAAAGATTCCAACTTCCCTTTGCTTCATGGCTTTTCTTTTCCTTCTTCAATGCTAACTGTTAAGTATTTCTTGTGGGTTTGATTATTGTAGCCTTGCCTTCTCTCAAGAATTTGGAAGAATTGTATGTGATTTCCTCTACACTGAATAACGGTTTTCTGCAAACAAACTATAATTAGTAAACAAACTTTTACTTCATCTCAATAGAGTACATATACTTCAATTATTTTTATTTGGATACACCTATGGTTACTTCAAGAAACTATAATTATAAATTATAAATTATTAAATATTTTTATTTATGTACCGTAATAATTTATCCTACCACTCAATAACTTAATTAATTATCTTGTAATTATGCTTGTTACTAATATATTATTGTGTTATTGCGATCGACTCAAAAAGTATATGGCTACTTTTAAAGAAAATAAATATTATTTATTTCATAGTAAATAATTAGTGATTACGAATTGTTAAATAGAGTCACCAAATAAACCTTAAAAAATTATCGTATCATTTCGTAATTTAGCCAATTATTATTCCATAATTTTTCTAGTTATGAAAATTAAGTACAATTTCGATAAAAAAAATTTCTTGTTATATTAGAGAATAAAAGAACATTATTTATGTTGTAAAGAAACCATTTGTAATATCTATATTTTGAGATCCTTCACAATCGATCATAGATTTTTGCACAATTTTTTTTTTAAAATAACTGATATCTTTAGATTTTTTTTTTAATTTTCCTACATTTAGTCCGAACCAATAAAAAAAAAGTTCTCTTTAGATTTTTATCTCTTGTGGTTGGTTTGGACAATATAATTTTCCCTTAATTTCTTTTTTTCTTTCTTTTGTTTTTCTTTTTTCAAAGACTGTTACTACCAGCTAACCACTAGTTATAGTTAAGACAATTTACGCCTAAATGTTTTTTTTGGCTAAAAAGAATCCAACTTCATTTCGTTAATCTATTTCTTGTCCGTTTGACTATTTTAGCCTTGCTTTCTCTCAAGAACTTGGAAGCATTGTTTGTGTACTCCTCTACACTCAATAACACCTTTCTGTAAACAATCGGAAGGATTACTACTCTAAAGAGTTTGCACTTGAGTCATTGTGGACTCAATGGCATAATACCTACAGTCCAAGGTAAGTCCTCTCTCTGAGTAATCTTTTTTTATTTCTACCTAAACTTTTAATAAATTAATTAATAATTCTCTTTTTTTAGGCCTATTTGAGTTAAAGCATCTGCAAACTCTGGATATCAGCAATAATGATCTCAATGGTACCTTGCCTTGGTTTTTGTCAAATTTAACATCCCTTGAACACTTAGATGTCTCTTCCAATCACTTCACTGGGGATATTTCCTCATCTCCTCTTGTTAGTCTCACATCTCTCCAATACTTAGATCTTTCAGACAACCACTTTCAGATCCCCATCTCATTGAATCCTTTTTTCAACCATTCAAAACTCAAGTATTTCTATGTTGAAAATAACGAAATATATGTAGAAGAATTAGAGGAGCATAATTTGGCCCCAAAGTTCCAATTAGAGACACTTTATTTGTCTGGCCATGGATATGGTGGAGCATTTACCAAATTTCTTTTCTATCAATTCAACCTGCAGACAATTGGTTTTTCTAACTTCAAATTGCGGGGAGGGTTTCCTAATTGGTTGCTAGACAACAACACAAACCTAAATCGATTTCATTTGACCAATAATTCTCTTTCTGGACCTTTTCAATTGCCAATTCATCCTCATGTCCAAATGTCAAGTTTGGATATTTCTGATAATTACTTCGACGGCCACATTCCAATAGAAATTGGAGCATATTTTCCAAGTTTAACTGATTTATTCGTGTCTAGAAATCACTTTACTGGCAGCATTCCCTCTTCATTTGGCATTATGTTGCATCTTCGAGTTTTGGATCTATCAAAGAACAACATCTCTGAAACTCTACCATCTTGCTTTAGCTATTTGCCACTCGTGCACCTTTATTTGTCACAAAATAGTTTACATGGAAATTTGGAAGATGCATTTCGAAACTCCTCTGAGCTAATGGCATTGGATCTTAGCCATAACCGATTGAGTGGTACCATTCCAGAATGGATTGGTGAGATTTCCAAATTGGGTTTTCTTCTATTGGGTCATAATAATCTTGAAGGAAGACTACCATTCCAACTGTGCAAGTTGAACTGGCTGAGCTTCATTGATCTGTCTCATAATAATTTTTCTGGTCATATCCTACCTTGCTTAAGATTTAGAAGCAGTGTTTGGTTCGTTCAACAGGAAATATTTCCTGCTGTATTTGACCTTCAGGAACCTTTAGAGATTACAACTAAGAGTATATCGTATTCTTACACGCCAAGTGTTTTAAGGTACATGTCTGGAATGGATCTCTCTTGCAACAATTTGGAAGGTGACATTCCTCGGGAGATTGGAAACCTTAACCACATCCATGCACTGAATCTGTCCAACAACCATTTAATAGGTCCAATCCCACAGACTTTTTCAAACTTGAGTCAAGTTGAAAGCTTGGATCTTTCCAATAACAATTTGACAGGAAAAATCCCTCCTCAACTTATAGAAATGCATTCTCTGGCCTACTTCAGTGTTGCCCATAATAACCTATCTGGTAAAACTCCTGAGATGGTTGCACAGTTTTCAACATTCAACAAGAGTAGCTACGAGGACAATCCTCTACTGTGTGGACCTCCACTCCCAAAAAATTGCACAGACGAAGAAGAACCATCATCACCTCCCGAGACTTCAACTGTTGATAACGAAGAAAGTGAGTTCATAGATACAAGTGTTTTCTATGTGAGCTTTGTTGTGACATACATCATGGTGTTGTTGGCAATAGCTGCAGTGTTGAACATAAACCCACGCTGGCGAAGAGTATGCTTTTACTTCATTGAGGAGATCATCAACAAGTGCTACTACTTTATTTTGGACAATCTTTTTAAGCCATTTGGAATCAGAGGTTGGAAGCCTTTGGTGTAAATAAATCTGAAATGCGCATTGTCTACATTTCAATGAGAAGATTTAAAACCTTGTCTCATCTCCAAACTCCATAGTATAAATTATGTCTGAAAAGTTGTGTTCTTCCTAGCAATGTAATGAAGATTTGGTATAAGGAAACGAAGTTTCATGAGTTATGGTTTCAATAAACAGGTACTGATTCCTTGATTTTCTTAGGTTGTGTTCCAATTTCAAGAAAACACACCAAGATTTTAGCTACACCACTACATGCAGTAGGCATTTGACAGTTTTATTCATCAAAAAAATTTAGAAGTGCATTTTCAAAGAATCGAAAATAATGGACATATGAACCTTTTTTTTGTATAATTCTAGCTAAAATAGGATATCAATCATCAATAACTATTCTCATCGATTGCATCTTAGCTGTCATATGGGGAGGGAAACTTCATCTTCATGCCTATCGATTGCAGACATGATTGCAAAATTTAAACTTTATCTTGCTCTTATATTGTCTTCTTATTTCAATATTTTTATCCTTTTCATAGTGCCTAATTATTTCTTAATCTTATTCATCCTGATCCGACATAATAGTATTAGATTGTGTGGAGTTCTATTTAATTGTCCAATTGCTTGTTAGTATCATTTCAGCTTTTCCCCACAAGCTTCATGAACATTTCCTCACATTCCAAGCAACCTCGGAAAAGCCAAATCTATTGGAACTTTATCGTTTACCCACAAGCTTCATGAACATTTCCTCACACTTCCAAGGCCCCGGAAAAGCCAAATCTATTGGAACTTTATCCACAATCCATCATTTGAGGTCTGTCAAGTAACTCGGGCTCCAGGATATTTACTAGGTCGTTATGCCTCTTTGATAGTTGAAATTAGGTTCCATTTAAAAAACTTAAGCCTTATGATGGATGGTTTCTTCTTAATTTTATATATTATTAATTATTGGTTTAACTATTCAATATGAGATATGTGTTTTAACATTCATCATTAAAAAAATTGCAATCCAAATCCAATCAAGAACAGTGTAATTCACATGAACCACGTCAGTTTAATAGCACCTAAACCTTGTAAGTAATGACCACTCTACCTTCAACCTAAACCTAGTCATATGAGAGAAAAGATGACAAGAAGACGATTCACTAAAATCTCAATTCAATGAAAACAGCAAATGGGCATCAATTATTTTCACAAAAGGTCATTTAACAAATAGAAATAAGCATTAGATATGAGAACTCACCAGCTAGCCAATAAGGTATGGATTGTATTTTACTACTACCAGCAAGCCAAAGAACACCATAACCAAAGAAGCAAGAAAAAGAACCAATCAAGAGAATAACCCAAGGAGGGAACTTGTTGCAAGCAATACCAGGAATGAGCCCCGACATTCTCACAAGCATCATTGGCAACACCAAGCATGGTAATCTGGTGCTGGTCAAATCCCAGAACAGATTTTAAAGAATGGGAATAAAGAGGGAAGTAGGCCCTTGCACTGATCAGGCTCTCTTAAACCTTGCATGTAAACTCCTACTCAATCCATCAATGCCAATATTTTCAATCTCGACCAGCAACATGAATTACAACTGATTTATCACAGGCTTGCTTCAGCTTGCCTGAACTGTGGACCCTAATAAAGTTGAATCTTTTTTAAGGTGTATAGAGCTTATTTCCAGCATCCTGGGTAGCTTGATGCATTGCTTTTATAATGAACATTTCTCAAGAAATAAGAAAAAAGAATGAGTACATGTTCTTTGAATATGCACTGCATGCTTGCAGAAGTAGTATAATTTAAGTTATCTCGTTTTGAGAATTTCATGGAGTACTCTACAAAAGGCAGCATAGCTTATATATGAATAAACATACTTTAAGGCACATATTTCTTGATGTAATAAACCTCATAAATAATGAAGAATAAAAGTTATTTAGTCATCTTATCGGAGTTGAATTTACTTAAACTATGAACATCGGTACTTGTTGTAATGAACTAATTTTCTGACCAAACAGAGGTTAAAAGGGAAATGCCATTTCTTTATTTAAGAGTTCGAAATACTGGCACATCTTATCTTCCTAGCAGAGAAACTAAAGGTAGAAGTGGATAATTTCCTTGATGAAAACTTGTCCCTGTTACTATTCTAATGTTTCTCATAGCTTAAACTGTTAGACTCTTTAATGCACAAGAGATTCTTGGAATCATATTTTTTTTAAAAAAAAACTTGTTGAATGATGCTGGAACTGCATGCATAAATGTTCAAAAGCCTTTTAAGGTCTGCTTGTATTTTTATTGACAGAAGCAGAAGGTAATTCAACCTCCGAGTTGCTATCTTTCACCAAGACTATAAGGAGCCCATTAATTTACGATCTAATGGTTGATCAAGTACAACGCTATATAATATCCACTTTGAATTTTGATTTGCAGGGATATTACATGGAGCCAATTCTGGCAGCCAAGAGATTCTTGAGGTCCATGTTTTTTCTGCTGCTACACGTTGCTGTATTGAAGTTAGGTCAGACCCTTCTTCCAGTTTAAATCAGAAGTTTTTCTTATATTTTGATTCTAAGTTTCCATGATGCAATGTTATTCAGACTTGTAGGAAAATATGTTCATTTAATTGTTGCATTATTTTGAATGGTGCATAGCATACTTTTAATATAGGCTGCACCAAGCAATCGAAACACGAAACCGAACAGTGTGATCTGTGCTGACTGTGATGGAAATGGCAAGCTAACAATTGTTACTTAGTCCATCTTACAATTGTAGTAGAACAGAATACCTAGTTACTAATTTATACTTTTGTTCTGTGTCCAATCACCAGGTGCTGTTCTGTGCTCTGAGTGCAAAGGTGGTGGAGTGAATTCTGTTAATCTTTTCAATGGTCGATTTAAAGCTGGTGATTCACTTTGGCTTTGAATTACTTAGTGTAGTTTATTTTGTAGGAGTATCGTATATTGAATTAGGAGGTGTAGTTGTAGACCAGAGATTGAGCTATATGGAAGGCGAGAAGTGAGTTATTTTCTACAAGAGGAACTTGAAGCCAGAAAAAGACGAAACCGAAACTAACTATCAGAGTAAATGCAGAATCTGCCTCTGTTTTTCCATGAACCAAGTATTCCAATCATGGATTCTGCCTCAAGAAACCTAAATTAAGATCAAAATTTATTCATCTTTTACAGATGCGAGTGGTGTTGCTGTTATATAGAACTCAAAACGCCTTATTTTCGCAGGAGAACTGATTACTTATTCCTCAGCCACGGTATCTGACGTGGGACAAAATTAATTATTATTTAATTTGAAAGGATTCTGGGTTATCATAATCTTTGGATTTAATTTTTATTTTATTAACTTCTTATGTTTAGTATTTGTTCTTTGATTTGAGGGTTTTTAAGAATTAATTAATAAACTCCGTTATTAAACTAATTAATAAATCAGCTTATCCTTACTAATGGCTACCTTAAAGAATTAACAAGAAAAATGGCAATTACATATTGTTAGCCAAGCGTAAAAAAAAATCCAATATATAAATCCAAAAAGTCTAAATAAAAAGTTTTCGTAGTCTTTTTCTACAGATAGGTTGTTTTGATTTCAAGGCAAGAAAAAGATCCACCCATACCTAAGAGTGACTTTGACTATTTACGGTCAGAATTAATTTGCATCCAAACCCAAAAAAAATATAAAATAAAAGATAAATAAGTCCATTTATCATTATATAATAACCTGAATCTCTAATTTATTTTAATAATTTTAATTATATTTATAAATATTATTTAATTTTTAATCTATTTTTCAATTAATTTTTGTGATTGTATGCAAAATTTTTAACCAAATACCCCTAATTAAAATGGAAAAAAAATCAATATAAATAAGTCAATTTATCCTTATACAATAACCTAAATTTCTAATTTATTTTAATATTTTTAATTATATTTATTATATCTTTAAGTATTAATTTATTTTTTAATCTGTTTTTTTGATCCATTTTTCTAATTATATGTAAAAAAATTTACCAAATACCCTTAATTAAAATACAAAAAAAAAAAACACTTAAAATCATATGATATTTATCTTTCATTTTATGTAATTAGAATTTTTTTTATTTCAATCAGAAACATTTCCATTAACAAAATTATCAATAGCCAAAAAAATTAATCGGAATAACAAAGTAAAAACTTAAATATTATTAAAAACATAATAAATACAATTAAAAACATAAAAATAAATTAAAAAATCAAATATTATATAAATATAGATTAAACTATTTATTTTTAAATAAAATCCTCTATAGTAAAAAGAATGGAAGCTCATTTAATTTATTCAAACATATTAGAATCTTAAACCCAAATACCGGCATAACCACAAAGCAGAAAAGGAAACTTCATGGTTAGTGGAAAATCACGTCAATTTATTGTGATATTGCCATCCCCGTGGCAAGCAATGTGTATGCTTTTTATAATTAAATTAAAAGATAGGAGATTTATATAAGTTTCAAATCTAAAAATATTTTACTTAAATAAATATATTAAGAAGTAATATAAAATTATATGATTAGACCTCCCGAACTTCACCTATCAATTTAGACGTTTAATTTCATAAGATTACTTGACTAACTGTAGTAATTTTACATTGTTCGAAAAGCAAAATTTAAAGGAACTTATTGATCCATCATAAGTCGGAGATCATTTCCTTTTTTCCACAAGATGGGCCAACCATATTATGAATTAATTGGAGAATCTCACGAAAAGGGAGAGAAATGTCAACATAAGTTGTTATTCTGGCTATAATTCCCATATTAAATGGTGTAAAAAAAGTTGAACAGATGAATCGGAATAATTAATGTCCATAAAAAACGCATTCGTAGACTAAAATTAAATTTGGTTTTAAACTTTGATTTCAATTTTAAAAGATTTTAGAAAAAGGTCTATGGGCGTTATGGGGATGATTTTGTGAAGTTTTGGCAAAAAAGTGGCTGAAAATAAAGTTTTGGAGAGCCACGGCTAGCATTCCTCAAACTCCGTTCGCGAAAGAATGCGGCAGGCTACACGTCATTTGTTTTTTCTTTTTCTTTTTCTTTTTTCTTTTTAAAAAAAATCTTTATGTGAACAATGCTTTCGTTCCTTATTTTTAATAAACAAACAAAAAAGAAAAAAGAAAAATAAAATAAACCAAGAGCTTGAGCCTCTCAAGTTTGGCGCAGGCACTTCATAGCAGGACCGGAAGCAGCAGGCCCGATCAATTTTTCTGTTTTTTTCTCTCTAAAATTTTTAGTTTTTAATTCTTTCTTTCATAGATAGTTTTTTTTCTTTATGATTTAATATTTTTTTCATAGATAGTTATGTTCATTTTTTTATACAGCTCTAAATATATTATTAAATATATATATTATTGTTGTTTCTTAGATTGATAAGCGTCAAAGATGCATAAAAAAGTAGCTCAATGATATTTTCTAAAAAAAAAAAAACTTAATGATTAATAAATTGAAACCTCACGATAGAAATAAAATTTTTAATTCGAATTTAACAATCTACCGTGCATAGTTTGAAGAATATTTAAATAATAGAACATTGAAATTTAAACATACAATAAAATTTATATTTAAAAATATTTTATTCATTACAAATTATCTAAATTTTACAATAATTTCTTAATAGCAATTTATTCTTTAATTATTTGTGAATTTAAATGCATAATTTGAAATTTATTTTGTTTTTATTGAAAATTACATGTGATGGTTTGAAATATATCTTAATATTAAAGATTTAGAAATTAATATCAATCAAATCTTAAGCGTAATTGTGTGAGTCTTATTCCGTTGTCAAGTTGTCTCTGTTTATTAAAAGATTCAATTTTTATATTTTAAGAAATATTTAGTTTTTTAAAATTAAATATTATAAGCATATGTTACTTAAGCTGACTCGGGATTAGCCATTCAATTATTGACTTCTTAGGGCAATATTCATGATGTCTATAGCCATCTAGTCCAAACAATTTATATTAACCTTCAACGGCTATGACAAGTTCGGATTTTTCATGAGTCAATTGTATTGTATATCGACTTGTTTTTCATGCCAATTTACTTCCATTAAGGATTACCTTTTTTCTTTTTCTTTTTTAATGCTCTCATAAGTTGTATTAGTTTCTTATTAAAAAACATTTGTAGAGTTACGATTTTTAAATTTCGTAATCTGTAACTTTCTTTCACAGCTTTACTTCTCAATAGAATCCAAAAAAAAAAAAAAAAAATGCAACCATTCTTTCCCTATTCATAAATGCAAAGATACGAAATTATTTGGATATGTGAAAATTTTCCACAAAATAAAAATATTCAAGGCAGATAATGTCAGATCATGTTGACCATTATTAACATTTTCCTTTTCTTTGTTTCGTTGGTGATCCAATGAACCTTCACTGGTCAAGCAATGAACGCAGTAACAGTTTCTTGGCCCCATGGTGTAATTTTCCACAACCACTAACAAGTAACAACACTGTCAGTGATTGCATTATTTTTGCCGTGGGGAACACATTGCCTGTGATGACCACTTCGGTATCTCTCTGTTTCTCTGTTATTGTAAATACCAAAAAATATTCACCTCCAAAATACTAAACTTAATAATTCCTTATCTACCTTAATTAAGAAAAAAAATTAAAAATAACAAAATTCCAATCCCTGCATATGCATCAGTCTCAAAAGCACAAAATGAAAACATTTCTTCTGGATATTTACCTTCGTCCATAGAAATTCTGTTTGCCAATCACCCACATGTCTGGAAATTCCATACATCTGCAACAGAGACTTCCAAGCTGAAAATTTAAATACCCCACCTGGATTGCCAACCGTGCTGTTTGGACAAATATTGGATTACAGCATCAGAGTCAAATGCCATAATTTTCCAAAGACAATGAAGTCTTCTTTTTTTGGCCTATTGTCCCATTCAGAAATTCCCATAATTTTCCACAAGAATAGTGCCAGCAAGAGGTTGATTCAATGGTGACACATTGAGTCTTCCTTGAACAGTGTGGATATTTGGATGATCCAAGTTCATAAACAAATAGAAGAAAAATTGAATAAAAAGCCAAGTTCGATAGGATATGTGTGATCGTAATCAGATACACAACCAGGTCTTCGTTGGCTTTTGTCCTTTTTTTTTCTATGTCATTTTGGGTTGCTAATATTCAGTCCTTAAACTTTTTAGTTTTTGTAATTATGTCCTAATCTCTTAGTTTTGAACAATTGATTGCAATTACTCCCAATGCTCTAACAAAACATAGTGTACATGAAAATATATTTTCATAATTCAATTATTAAGTATAAAAATAAAAATTGCAAAATACTTATAAAAACAAGAAATCATGAACTACAAAAAAAAAAAGAAAAATAGTTTGTGCACCAAAAATACGTTAGCGGCGAGTTCAAAATTTTATAATATTTTATTTTATCTTACACACTCAAAACTCTTAATAAAACTAATCTGTTAGGATTTGAATCCATAACATTTTGTTACAAGAGACCACTATCACTAGACTACAAGCTCTTTAATAATAATAATATTTATGCGTATTCAAGTTTGTGACTAAAATAATACAGGAGTTAAGTGATCCATGTATTATATACGCATATTTTCTCTCGCATATCTTGTTGCAATTTTTTAGATGAAAATGTCCTTACAATCACAAAGAAAAAAGGAAAAAAAAACTTGAAAATATATCTTAAATTTTTTTTAAAAAAACCATGTTCATAAAATCTCCTAAATAGAAATATGCATTAGGTAATGAAATAAGTTTTGTAGGACATTGGTTTCTTTGGAAAAAAAAAATCTTCGTTAGTTTCCAATGTCTTGTATGTTTTTTATAGACTAGTTCAATTTTTCATCAGGATGTTCCAAGTTTTTATTTTTAAAATTTTTCCCCTTTTTTTT